CATCACACTAGAAGGGACCACGTTACCGTTCACCGACTCCTATGTGTACCTCGGCCGTCTAATTTCCATGGACAACAACCTGCGTGCAGAAATTATGAGGCGCAGAAGATGCGCGTGGGCGGCAATCGGAAACATAAAAGAAGCGGCTCATCTCGTATCGGACAAGAAAGTACGAGCTGACCTTTTCGACTCTACGGTATTGCCAGCACTCTGTTACGCATCCGAGACGTGGGCGGAGAACAAGACGTCAACGCTAATGCTGGTTCGCGCACAAAGAGCTCTAGAGCGGACGCTGCTGAAGATCAACCGCGCAAAGCAGAGAAGTCTTAACCTCCGCAGCGCAGACATGCGCTCAATGTCCGGCATCCGTGACGCCGAAGTGTACGCGTGGAACGCAAAGAAACGATGGGCAGGGCACGTGGTTAGACGCACGGACGACAGGTGGACCACTCGCGTCACGTTCTGGTACCCACGTGAGATTAAACGCACACTAGGCCGTCCTGCAACGAGATGGAGTGATTCACTGAAGAAACTTCAGGAAAACGATGGTCAACACTGGTCCCAAACCGCTCAAGATCGTCAAAAATGGATGGAAGCGTGTGCTCGCCGCTGAGAAATATCAGCCGACAACGAGCGTCCAAGTATCCAAGTATCCAAGTATCATAAGAAAATAGGGACAATAAATTACGAAGCGCTTCGCTCAACCCTTCGAGATGTGTCACGCACATCGACTTGAAAATCGAAAACCATAAAGGCCTCGATTAGTGTTATTTTTGTTCAGTACCTAAGTAACTAAAAATTTTTAATTTTTGTAACAAACAGGCACTGAATTCATGCCACTAATTCATACAATTTAACAAATAAATGTAAGACGGATATTATGCTTGATGTCATAAATTGTAGAAGGACGAAGGATTAAGTCTTTGGCGATGATCAATTCGTCTTGGAATACGCCCTCGCACCACACTCCCGTTTAGAGTCGTACGTAATGGCCTACTGAATGACTAAGCGACCTACACAAGGACATGCATTGGTCATTCGTTGCACATCAAGCAAAGTGTAACAAATTGGAGTAGTGGAACTTGGTAAATCAATATGAAAAACGTAAGAAAATGACAAATAATAAAACGAAGTGAAAAGTGGCCCGTTTTGTCTCTTCATCAGAAGAATCACCACTTCCACCTTCCCCTGAGACTCATCTTGTTTGGGATCAGTGAGCAAAGAAATGGGTAAATTGCATTGTTCGATATATAGTTAAACAAAGTACAAGAATGGAAAATAATGTACTATTGGTATTGCTTATTGATTGTTGAAAGTTTTTACAATTCCTTTAAAAAATTTGGTAATGTTGTTGAGATTACTCGTGATAGAACACTTGTAAATAAGTTCATTTCTACATATACATACATTTAACATGAGTGATTGTAATTTTTTTCCTTATATCCTTATCCCAAGAGAACGCCCAACATTCCCGTTACTCTTGTGTTGAACACTTCAATCCTAGAACATGTGTTGGCAGTTCTCAAAGTTTCCCTATATATAACAAAAGCTTTATTGGTAATAGAAATATTAGTACCACTAGTAACATTTAAGGACATGAGAGAATCTAATGACATTATTCTATCAATGAATACATTAATATTTAAGTTTAAATAGCTGTCATTTCTCTCATCCAAATGTTTTCAAAGCAAAGCGATCCTTATATATCAGAAGGAACTATTGTTCTATATCTGATTCAGCCTGTTTCTGTAATATTAATCGATCATCTATATATCTCGATGAAATAAAGAGCTTATTCTCAATGAACCTCTTTTTACATACTTACACATACATATTTCATTATCGAAAGAGTGAGATCGGCCAGAAGAGGACCAAAGTTGCCTACCTGAAAAATGCCCTTTCCCTGCTTATGAATGTTATTTTCAAAAATACAAAAGCTGCTAGTTAATAGGTAATCGGTCTAGTAGAGCAAGTCGTTGATCTTATAACATCTATGGTCATTTCTGATTTCAGTGCAATTTGTGAAATAAACACAAAACAACAACACAACACAAAGCACAGAAATTTGTCTCGTTTCGGAAGCAAATATTTACTGATCCCCTTATTAAACATTATCAAATTTGTATACGTATCAGTAAAGTTGGCAATATATAATTTGGGATTATCATAGATAAACGAGCTGAGTTCATTACTAATATGTACTAATATTACTTTTAGACCAATATATTTAAACTGATCTGTTTCTGCTCTGCATGACTAATTTAATTGATGAAGTGTTCTTTCAGAAACTTAAACATAGTATGTAACTCCTGAGCTGATCCTGAGCTGAAGATGTAATACCACTGCTGTGAGCACTTGTAATAACTCTAAATTCGATAGATTTCCATGTAACTTCGGAAGCGCATAAACAGTCTTCTGAAGTTATTGAGCATCTTATGGACGAAAGTTTCAAAGGAGTCAGGTACAATGAACTTACCCCGGAAGAAGGGAAGTCTTGGTTGACTTTAGTGACCATAGATTTGGGTTTTGAATCACAGAACGTGCTTGTGTGATGGCGCAACACGGATACTCTATTACCAAACATTACCGCTGATGAAGAAATATTATAAACAAGCAAATAAACATCGAATCTCGCTTCTACGAAATCCTAGGCTCACGTATTGACCATAGAGACAGATTGCGGGGCTGAAAGGAGCCCGAGGGAGCTACGGAAATTCAGACCAGCACCTCGGACTATTGCTCTAACCTGCACAGCGAATCCCGACGGCTGCAGTGGCAGTTTTCAGGTGCATCGAGTAGATGCGACTTATCAGAGAAGTAAAAGGAAGTAGAAGGATGGAGTTTAATTCAAGTCAAAGTTGACGAGGCGACGACGTGAGGGTTTCTTCGTTTTTCGCGTGACGTCTGAATAGAGGGAAATTAGAAATGGGAGGGGTCAGGAGAGACAGATCTGACCCAAGCAAGGGGAGTGCGACTACAAATTCGATTTGCTCACTTC